GCAACTGAATACAATGGCACCGCAATTGATAGTGGCAAAGCGGTATTATCTATGTCTTCAAAACTCCACTGAGCTGTATTTTTCAAATCTGACCCTTTATGAGCTCCTAAAGGTATTGTACGAAATTGAATGTCCACCATGGTACTGAACCTGTGCTAATTGATTCTTTCAAATTCTGTACGACCCTGCAAGATGTATGACTGAGACCTTTTCTGTCCCTCCAATATAACATGAGCACCCTTACAAACTTTCAAAACTCCACATCCACCAAAGAACTCATAACCCTTTGAATTAAGGATAGACAAATATATGATATTCTTCTTCAAATCTAGAATGTATCGAATCTAGCCAAGTGTTCGAATTGTTCCATCCAAAAGCTTCAATCTGACTGTACCAATTTCAGTAACCCGACAAGATGTGTTGTTTCCCATAACCACGACACCTTTGGAAACAGTTTCATATGTAACAAACAAGTCCTTATTAGGACACATATGAAATACATATGCTGAATCAAGATTCCAACCATCTTCCGATTTAAACTCAATGTCAGAAATAGCTAAGAGCTCTCCATCATTTACAACATTCTCCACGAGGTCTGCTTCTCCTAAAGTATCTAAATGTCTACTTGCAGCCATCTTTTCTTTATTCTTCAACTCCTAGCAATCCTTCTTCAAGTACCGCTTCTTCTTGCAGTAGCTACAAANGAGCTCTCCATCACTTACTACGTTCTCCACGAGGTCTGCTTCGCCTGAAGTATCTATATGTCTACTTGCAGCCATCTTTTCTTTATTCTGCAACTTGCAGCAATCCTTCTTCAAGTACCTCTTCTTCTTACAGTAGTTACAAATTTGATTACTGAATTTAGATTTCGATTTGCCCCTTCCAGAAACACCATGAACAACCAGGCTTTCTCCATCTTTGGTATCAGAAACCAGATGCTTCATCTTCTCTTTTGAAAACAAAGTATCATAAACCTCCTTAATGGTAAGAGTATCACAACTATATAAGATCGTGTCTCTAAATGAAGAAGGTGAAATGGGCAACGAATACAATAGGATCAAAGTCAAATCTTCTTCATCATACTTAACTTCCAATGTTTCTAAATCAGCGACGATCTCCTTAAATACAGTTAGGTGATCTTCCAATGATCCTCCTTCTGCCATGCGATGAGAGTATAGCTGCTGCTTGAGATGCAATTTACTTGTAAGACTCTGGATCATGCATAATTGCTCCAACTTCAACCACAAAGCAGCTGCTAACCTCTCCTTCAAAATATATTGAAGAATAAAATTTGATAGATGAAGATGAATGTGAGAAACTGCCTTTTTATCCTTCCGTAATATCTCTTTCGCGGATAAAGTTGCTGGCATCCTTTTAATACCCAACAACGCATCATCTAAATCCAATTGTACGAGTACTGTACGCATCTTAACATGTCATTGAGAAAATCTAGTGGTTCGATCCAAAAAAAGAATGTCATACTTCATAGAAGCCATCATGAAAAAAGGCTTCGAACAAATCAAACTCTGCGCTTTTGTGGAACTGCTGAACATTGGCACTAATACCACTTGTAAGAAACCAACCAAGATACCAGAATAGTTCTGATACCAATTATTGTGAAACAAACTACCGGACTGAGATGTTGAAGTTATATAACAAATAATAATGAAGTACTTGATCAAACAAAAGAATAAAGAAGACAAGAATATGGTAGAAGAATTAAGATATTTTATTGATTCAAGAATAATGGAGAATAGAGAAAATTACAATAGATCATATAATTCTAGTAATCATTTTCTCACATGTAATTGTTACAAAAAATTGTATAGAAGAGACTAGTATTTATAAGAAATATCTAGGGGATGTTCAAACCCTCTTGTTAGAGTTGTTGATGAAGTAGGATGCCAAAAAATTAGTCCAAAACGAAGTATGAGAGAAAAAATCGCAATCACGTACTATAGCCGCGCTCAGGCGCTAGACGAATTCCTTGTTTGAATATTGAAGAATTCTAATTGTAGTGAACATCAAGAAGAATTCAATTTTGGAATGCTATTGAAATCTTATATCAAGCTGAAGTTTTATTTTGGAAGCCCGTTGGAAGTTGAAAGTTGATATTAAA